AAGAGGACAAGAAGGAGGTAAGGAGAAGGATGAGGAGCATCTGCAACTGTTCCCCGATCAGTGCTTGCACAAAAGGGGTCCTAGCGTAGATCGAAAGATTTGGCGATATTACAAGCCGATTTCGGTGAGCGGCCAGGTTCCTGCGTTCCCGGTTCCCGGTTCCAGGGCTCCCGGTTGCTGGTCCTGGACCGATTTCGGTGGGCGGTGGGGTTCCCAGGTTTCCCGGTTCCCGGGTTCTTGGTCGATCTTTTTATGGACCCGTCTCACCATCGATCTCACTACCCACCACTATTGATCTCACAGTCGATCTCACTGCATCGACTTCACGATCGGTCCCACAATCGACCTTCCCATCGTTCACTGTCGATCCCACTATCGGTCTCGCTATCAATCCCACCATCGATCTCGATGTCCCTGTAACGAATTTTCAAACCATCCACTGATTGTTTTTTCTCTAGTGTAATTTGTTGCCAATTGCTAATTTCTCGTGGCGCTGGTGGACTCAACAGAGCCGGGTGTGATCTTCCACGACTATGAGGGTCCAGGTTTGGAGGTTCACAGAGTTGCAGGCACTTCTCTGTGGCCGAAGCGGTGGGTGTCCACCCGACTAGCAATGAGATTATAAGGCTCTTTTCCGTCATGACAAGATTCGGCTGCGTCTGGAGGGGTTTGCGCATGCGCTGTGCGATTTGCTACGGCTCGCGACGCGGCAGTCGTTCCCCAATTTGTCAGAAGTGTCCCCGAGGCATTCCTTGGACGCCTTCGAGTCCTGGGGGCCCCCCTTGCCCTCCAAACTGGCCCCTCCAGGTCAAACGGGCCCCGATATGGCCCCAGGAGCCCCGCACCGCACCAAGGATGCTCCAGGATGGCCCCAAGAGTGCTCCTCTTCCTGTACCTTTCCGCTCCCTCGTGGAAGGGTCAGGGCACCCGAGCCTTACCACTTCAACATGTGCGTTCCGTCGTTCCCAGATGCCGTCTCCCCCCCACCAGTCTGTGCAGTATCACCCCCCGCTCCTCGGACACATCTTGCCTTTCATACATTTTCTTTGCCCGGAGTCTGACCTGTAGATTGCAAGGCCTTGGGCGTGTGTGCCATCCTGGTTATAGACAGATAATCGCACCCCCTCCTGCCTACCAGGACTTGTTGTTATATGGTATACCTTCTCGGCCGAAAGTTGGCAGTCCACCAAATCAGATGAACTATTGGACGAGCTAGTGTTTCCCAGACTGCATGTACGAGATCTGTACGCGTGAGACATGCGAGCATGCCGCGTTGAATCGTACGGGAGTGGAATTCTCGTCTTGACCAGAACAGGCTGCAGAGCATCAGTGAGTATGGACACATGGCCAGATGCTGTCATGTTGATTACATCGTGTCGAAACCAGGTAATCATGTTATAAGTGCTACGTGGCACGAGGATTCGACCACGTACGAAAGCAGCCTTGCCTGCTGAGATCCACTGCCCTCTCATGCTGGAACATGCCAACGAGGGGCGGGACGAGGGAACTCGGCGATTGTTAAGACCCCACCCTGCCAAGTCGATCCTTAACAAATTGTGTTTCTTCCTGTTGCCACGGGGGTTCTGTGGCCGCGATCTGCACGGGTCTGAGCCCGTCGGCTGTGCCGTGTCGCTGTCGCTTCGCCAGCGACGGAGACTCTGGAGGGCAAGGGCTCGGGACCCGTTACCATGGATAGGCCTGCTTTCCACCACCACTACCATACGAAGGAGGGGGAGGAGGTCCTCCTCCTTTTCGTCCTTCTCCTTCTCGTCCTCCACTTCCTTCCCCGCTCCAACTTATGGTGGTGGTGGAGGAAACAAGCTCTTCAACCACGGCCCCGCTGCCTCGCCGCCGCGGACGGGAAACCGTTCAATATTGAATGCAGTCACGCGGTGCCAGACACTAGGGTTGTTGTCGTCACGGCAGGAGTTGGCACAGTTTTGTTCGCAGTCTTGCCCCCCCCCGTCATCGGAAGAGCAGCATATGCAAGAATTGTGTGCTAATGTGTGGTTGCGTTTCGCTTATGCTTCATGGTTCATTCAATCGCTTCGCTCATTCCGCCGGCCCTGGAGCCCTCTTTAGGGCCTCTTGGGGGTCTCTTGGGGACCTCCTGGGAGTTTCTTGGGGCTCCTTGGGGGGCTCTTGGGGGCCTCTTGGGGCGGGAGGGGGGGTAGTTCATTGCGGCTCCCCCCTCGGAGGCCACGATTCTCGTGAGGGGTGTCGAAAAATGGCCCTCCCCTGGAGTGCTCTGGGGGGACCTGACCGGGACCTGGCCGGGGTACTTCTCGTCCGGGGGCCCCCAGGGGCCGCTCCGCGCGCGCGAACTAGAAATATTGTTAACCAGTTACCGGATATCTTAGCACGCCGTTGGCCCGTTGGGCCGGCGAATTGATCGCACCCCCACTGCTCTACCAGCGTGGGTTGTTTTGTTCGCACGGTACGAATAAGCGATGCCGTTGGATGTGTGTTGATGTTGGCTGTGCCAAATTGCCGGATGTTGCTCTTCCACGCTGTCTAATTGCGTTCGTGGCTAAATTTGCCCTCCTTGGGTTATCCGACCAGGGATTTCTCCGATCCCCATGCAATGTGTTTGGTTCCCGCAGTTTTTGTCAAGCCAGGCCGTTGAATCATTGACTTGAATGACCCATCGTGTGATACAGTAGAGCGCTTCACCAAACCAACAAGATGGCAACACCCATACCAGCCTCTATTGACTCACCTACTGGTGACGAGTTGCTCCACCACACCATCGGATGTGGTGGCATTCTGGAGTATGCTAAAGGTACTCTGGCAATGCTCGTTGTTTGGGGCGGCGTGCAAGTGGGCACGCTCAGCCCATTCATCACCCTTCTCCTGTACCGCGCGGCTGGCTTCCGATGTGCTGTCGCATTCGCAGTGCTGGCCGCGGCGAGTGTGGTGGTTCCTTTTCGGCACTCCCCTGCGTTCTGTCGCTTTTATCTTCAAGGAGCCGTCTGTGCTGGTGGGGCGACGGTGTGGATCCACAGAGGCCTCTTGTCGACATTGGAAGGTGGTGGCTACATGGTGTGCCAGCACCCGCATGGCGTGCTCCCTTTGGGATTTAGCTTCAATGGTGCCTTACGTGTCAAAACGATGGAGCCCAGAAAGTACTTGCCTGCAAGTGTCTCCATCAGTGCAGACTGCAACGGTGTTCAGGCGCCTGTCCTTTGGAAAGTGCCATTTATGTCGGCAGTGCTGAGACTGTGGGCAGCTTGTACTCCCGCCACCAAGCAGGGTATGAAGCAGCTGCTGGCGGCACGGACGCCTTTTGGGATATTACCCGGAGGAAGCGAAGAAGTTGCTATCCACGAGCATGGAAAAGAGAACGTGTACATAAACAGCCGATACGGTTTCATCAAATACGGCTTGGAGCAAGGCTATGCACTTGTCGTGTGTTATACATTCGGTGAGAATGACCAATATCGCAGTTGCAGGCTTCTTCGCCCTGTGAACTTATGGTTGGTAAAGCGATTCGGTTTTGTCCTACCTCTGTTTTGGGGTAAATTGTTGTTTCCACTGCTGCCGACTGGAGGTGGCTTGCATACAGTTTTTGGTGACGTCGTGCAGCTACCCAAAATCGAAGTTCCGACAAGTGAGGACGTTGTGAAGTGGCACAAAGTGTACGTGGAAACCTTGAAAGCAGTCTTCGACCGTTACAAAAGCCGGTTTGGCCATGGCGATCGTGAGTTGGTATGTTTTTGAGACCCGGCAGGCATCTGCAATTTTTGCATTGCGTTTGTCATCATTCAGGTCGACGTCATTTTCCAGGTTGCGTCGACGTCGGTGTCACGGGTGTGGCTTACATTGCGAAGGTATTTCATCATTGGTCAGCTTCAAGTTCATGGCAGTTGATTCGTCGCAGATCGCCGACCATCGCGTTGTCGTGCTAGCCGTTTTTGGGGTTGTTCCATTCTCTGTTTTGTCGATTCCGTGTCTCCCCTCTCCAGATGAGGCGAGTACGTCATCGGTCACAGACGCCGTCATCTACATCCTTAAACTACCGTCAGGTGTCAAGGCTGGCCAGCAGCACGGGCACGAAAGAGACGTTGTGACTCCGGCGTGGGCGCTCGGCGCGGCAGTCGTGACATCAGGCTTAAGTCGGGCCTGTCCCCCCACAGGGGGATTTTCGACGAAAAATTCAAAATACCCCAGAAATAGTAAACAAATACTCCAAACATAGTCTGGGGACTAATTTTTTTTGTATTTTCTGACCTCTTTTGGGTAGGTTTGGTGTATTCTTTATTTTTCGTCGAACATCCCCCTGCAGGGGGACACGCCCGACATGACGTCAGGCCCGGTGCGCGGGTCCGCCGTCCCTTGCGCCGAAGAGACCTCCTACCCTGACACGTCGATTGAGGAATTGGCCGCTTTCGGTTCGCGAGAGGGCGTCGCGGCCGTCATTTTTGCGGGTCCAGGTCCGTCGGTTTCGGTCCCAGGCCGTTTTCATTGAGGGGAGGTTTATCAAAGGGAGGTTTGTCCACCGCCGATTCATGCCCGGTGCGTGGGCCCGCTGTCCCCTGCGCCGAAGAGACCTCCCGCGGCCTGCGGCGCGAGCCCGCCGGAGCTGCAGCTTGAGCGCTCCGCGTGGCGATCTCTTCTTGGCTCGTCGTCGGGAGCTGCCTTAGAGAGAGGGAAGGGCGAGGAGGAGGAGGAGGAGGAGGAGGAGGGGGAGGAGGAGGAGGAGGCACTCAGAAGGCGAAAAGTCACCCCCACCCCCAATCCCGACTCCAATCCCCGAGCCGGCGATTCAAGGGGTCGGGACTGGGGGTTGGGGGGGGGAGGTTCTCTATTCTTGGGCCCCAAAAGGCCACCCCCACCCCCAGTCCCGACCTGTGTCGCGGGTTCCAGGATGGGGTCGGGACTGGGGGTGGGGGTGGGTTTTCGCTTTCCCACGCACGGGTCTTCTTTTGGAGCGTCCTGGAGCAGCTCTCTGCGGGTCTATATTGCGGACTTTTGCTGGCCGCGTGGGGGCCGTTTCTGGGGCTGGCCCTCTACGAGCCGTCTCGGATGGTCCTGGGCCCCGCCAGAGGCACGCTCGGGCCGGGGTCTCTCTTGGGGCAGTCCCGGGAAGTTCGTGGGCTCTCGGTGGGCACTTCTGGGCCTCGATGGCCGCAAGTGGACCGATCTTCGACCGAAGAGCGTGAAGACAATGAACAGCTGACATCCCGAAGAGAGCACAACGTGTGTGACATCTTGAGGAGGCATCTTTCTTCGGGGGCGGAAAAGAGGGGGGTGATGACTAGGGGGGTGGATATCATGGCGGGGGCCATGATATTTCCCCAGCTTTCATGGCGCCTCCTCTTATTTCCTTGCGCGGCCCCCCGCTGGGCCGCGCACGTGCCGCCGGTCATGATTTGCTCTCCCTTCCTCTTGGACACCCGTGGCCTCTTGGCGGCCCTGGTGCCGGTCCCTGGCCGTCTCCGGCGCCGCGGGGAGCCGTGGCGAGCACCGACCGCTGGGCCGACCGCGCGAGGGGCGGGGAGACGCTGATTGAGGCCTGCTTGTAAGTCGGGCCTGTCCCCCCACAGGGGGGTTCGCGACGAAAAATAAACGATACCCCAAACATAGTCAAACAATGGTCCAAAAATAGTCGGGGGACTATTTTTTGGGTATTGTTTTGCCTTTTGGGGGCATTTTTGTTTTTTTTTGTTGTTGTTCGTCCAAAATCCTCCTGTTGGGGGACACGCCCGACATAACGCTGATTGAGGCATGCTTTGGGAACCACCAGCCCCCCCACCTTTGCAATCGGGGTCGTACATTTCGAGTATGCCTCGATCGAGAGGCCCTGTCCAGCCTCATTACGCAAGCTTCTGGTGGTCGCACGGGGAGGTGTTCATGGGGACGAGGTAGGAAGGGAGGGATAAGGAAGAAAAACCCGAAGGAGGAGGACGGGAGGGAAGGGGAGGGGATGGGGAGAGGGAGGATGCAGCGGCAGGAGGGGAGGTAGAGGGCAGGAGGAAAGGGGATGAGTGGCGGCAGGTGCTCTCTTTAGAGGCCCGCTCTCGATCATCCTTCGCCGCTCTCCTGAAGGCCTCCGAGGCCCTGAGATCCGACGTTGCGAACAAAATGTGACACCGCGAGCGCTCACGACTGGAGCCCCAGACTTCATCCTTCTGCCGCATCTTGCGAGCCAGATCGATCCGTGAGGGCTCCGGGGCCGAAAGCGAGGCGAAGTCGCCCGGTGTGAACAAACATGCGACGCCGGGAACTCAGGGGAACCCCCCGAAGGTCTCGGAGAGCCTCCGAGGACCTCTACGGGCCTCCGCGGGCCGCCGAGGCCGCCGAGCTGCCGCCGGGGTCCACCTCTCGATCCGCTGCCCACCCCCCCCCCTCCTGCAGGCCTCCGGGGGCCTCCGGCAGGCCCGAGAGAACCGCGCAGAGGGCCTCCGAGGGCCCCCGCGGGGGCCTCCGCGCTGCCGCCCAGGGCCTCCGCCCCCCCCGCCGGCTCCCGAGAGGAGCCAGTGGCGGCCTCCGCGGCGGCGCCGCCGCGGCACGTGCCGCGCAGCCCCACGCCGGAGAGAGGCGGGCTCCTTTTGATGGGCCTGTTTTCCACCCCCCCCTCCTCCTCCTCCTCCTCCTTTTCCTCCTCCTCCTTCTCCTCCTCCTCCTCGTCCTCCACCTCCCTCCCCCCTCCAACTTGTGGTGGTGGTGGCGGTGGAAAACAGGCCCATCACCTTTGCCGCGCCCGCGCGCCCCCTTGGGGGGGGAACGCTACTTGGGGGGAGGGGCAGAGACTGGTGTCTTGCCAAGTGACTGGTGTCGTCGCAACTGCAGCCCCACGACGCGGGCAGAAGCTGACGCGTTGGACGCGAGAGACTTGCGGCAGGCGGCTCGCTCGGGGGCGGGGGATGGTTGTGATGTTCCACCCTATTTGGGATTGGATCGCCAAACGAATTATCCTGGCGAAGGACCCAACCAGATGCAGTTGTGAGTACCGCAATTGTGAGTATCTTCTTCGGCGGTGCCCACGAACCGTAGGAGGGGCGTGCCGAAGTGTAGCGGGGTATACCACACGAAGGAAAACGATCGGTCTAATTTCGAGAGACTGAGCGCGGGTGAATCTGAACGCGAGTGGGTCTAAGTGTGAATAAGTTTGCGTGCGTGCGCGATGGCTACGCCTCGTGTAAATGCATATGAATGTGAATGGTTCGGGTATGCCTGTCTGTGCACTCGTGACACTGAGCGTGGCCGCCGCAGAAAGCTTCCGCGGAAACCCCATCGGCAGCGCCCGCACGCCGCGACGCCCATGTCGGCACGCCCCTCATGAGGATCGCGCCTGCTTCTTTCCCTTTTGTTCCTCCCTCTTTGCCCTACACTCCAAAGTCCAAAGCTGCGGGCGCAGCGCGGCTGCGCGCTGCAAAGAGAGTTACCTAGCTGGCTGGCTGGCTGATAGCGGGCAAGGTTCTGAACGCTGGGCAGAGCGACGACGGGCGAGCGACGCGCATGCGGGCGGTGGCACTGGGGCCTTCGGTGGAGCTCCCTATGGGGACACGAAAGTTGTGAGGGGTGTGCCGACATGGGTGTGGGGGCCGCATGCGGGCGGTGGCAATGGGGCCTTCTGCGGAGCTTCCTCGGCAGTCACGAAACGTGTGAGGGGTGTGCCCAAATATGTGTGTGTGGGGGGGGGGGGGGGGGCGCGTGCGGGCGGTGGCGCTGGGGCCTTCGGTGGAGCCCCATTTTCTGGGCCACGAAACGTGTGAGAGGTGTGCCGACATGTGTATGGGGGACGCATGCGGGCGGTGACATTGGGGCCTTCGGTGGAGCTCCCTACGGGGCCACGAAACTTGTGATGGGTGTGCCGAAATGGGTGTGGGGGGGCGCATGCGGGCAGTGGCACTGGGGCCTTCGGCGGAGCCCCCTATGGGGCCACGAAACGTGTAGGGGGGGTGTGCCGACATGGGTGTGGGGGACGCATGCGGGCGGTGGCACTGGGGCCTTCGGTTGAGTTCCGTATGGAGCCACGAAACGTGTTAGGGGTGTGCCGAAATGGGTGCGGGGGACGCATGCGGGCGGTTGCACTGGGGCCTTCGGTGGAGCTCCGTATGGAGCCACGAAACGTGTAAGGGGTGTGCCGAAATGGGTGCGTGGGGGGCGCATGCGGGCGGTGACATTGGGGCCCTTCGGTGGGGTTCCCTGTGGGGCCACGAAACATGTGAGGGGTGTGCCGAACTATGTGTGGGGGAGGCATGCGGGCGGTGGCACTGGGGCCTTCGGTGGGATTCCGAATGGGGCCCCGAAGCGTGTGAGGGGTGTGCCGGATTGTGTGTGTGTAGGGGTGCGTGTGCGGGCGGTGGCATTGGGGGGTTCCGTGGAACTCATTATTGTGCCACGAGCCGTGTGAGGGGTGTGCCGAAATGTGGGGTGCTTGTGCGGGCGGTGGCACTGGGGCCTTCGGTGGGGCTGCGTATGAGGCCACGAAGCGTGTACGGAGGGTGTTCCGAAGTGTGTGTGTGTGTGTGTGTGTGTGTGTGTGTGTGTGTGTGTGTGTGTGTGTGTGTGTGTGTGTGTGTGTGTGTTGTGTGTGTGTGTGGTGTGTGTGTGGGTGTGTGGGGGTGTGGGGGTGTGGGGGTGTGGGGTGTGGGGGTGGGGGTGGGGGTGGGGGGGGGGGTGGGGGTGGGGTGGGGGTGGGGTGGGGGTGGGGGTGGGGGTGGGGGTGGGGTGGGGGTGGGGGTGGGGGTGGGGGTGGGTGGTGGGTGGGTGGTGGGTGGGTGGGTGGTGGTGGGTGGTGGTGGTGGTGGTGGGGGGGGGGGGGGCGCATGCGGGCGGTGGCACTGGGGCCTTCGGTGGAGCTCCGTATGGGGCCACGAAACGTGTGAGGGATGTGCCGAAATAAGTGTGGGTGACGCATGCGGGCGGTGGCACTGGGGCTTTCGGTGGAATTCCCTGTGGGGCCACGAAGCGTGTGAGGGGTGTGCCGGCATGGGTGATGATGCTGGTGATGATGACGGTCGTGATGATGGTGGGTGATGATGCTGGTGATGATGACGGTCGTGATGATGGTGATGATGAGGTTGATGATGATGGTGATGACGATGACGATGATGATGGCGCTGATTGTGGTGATGATGGTGATGATGATGGCGATGATGATGACGGGAGGAGAGCGGAAGGGGGAGGAGGAGGAGGAGCGGAACGCGGGGCGACGCCTCTTCAACACGAGGACCCAACACCACATGACGGTTGGGAAAAAGGGTTTCGAGCGCCAGGGAAGTATCGAAGATGGAGGGCTGCACTTCGCCAGCTTGTCTGGCAGACACTTCTAGCGTACCCTTCCGGGGTGCTTGAGTTGTTCTGGGATGTGGTTCTTAAGCACGATGGGAACATCACAAGGGGAGGGGCAGCGACTGGTGTCTTGCCGAGTGCAACCCCATGGCGCAGGAAGAAACTGACGCGTTGAACGCAGTAGACTCGAGACAGGCGGCTCGCGCATAAGTCCAGGCTGTCAGACCTGATGGCCAGAGAGGAGGGTAGGTGTTTGCGGATTGTTTTCTGATGTCACCTGACTTGCGCCGTTGCCGGCAATCTGGGGGAGAGACTCAGACTTTGGACGCCCGAAATGGGTACGGAAAGAATGGGTACAATGCCCAACAGCAGGTCCTGTTCATTCTGAACAGGACTAGCTGTCGGTGCCGCCGCGGCC